TCTCCATCTGGCCCACCAGGTGTGGGGCTCCTGTTAGCAATAGCAGAATGTACATTAAAGTCTAGATACTTTATGTCTGGCTAGTCTACAAAATGAATTAAAATTATTCTGCTATCACTCATTTAAAAATTTTATTTATTTTTATTTTATGTGTATGCGTGTATTGCCTGCATGTAGGTAAGTGCAGTCATGTTGTGCAGTGCTTGCAGAGGTAGGAAAAGGTTGTCAGATCCCCTGGAACTGGAGTTATGGACAGTTGTTAGCTGCCATGTGGGTGCTGGGATTTGAACCCAGGTCTTCTGCAAGAACAACCAGTGCTCTTAATTGCTGAGCCATCTCTCCAGCCCCTATCACTCATTTTTAATGACCACAGAGGACGTGAGAAGCTCAGTTTGTTCCCTTGGTCCCTAAATGCAAGGAAGCAGATTATCAGCTCTCTCCACGGAATCACTGAGAGTCAGAACTGAACACATGGGAATGAACTGGCACAGAGAATAGCGAATGTCCTATCCATGGAGGTATTCAGGTGCATGCTGGACAAGGGCACGGTGAGGGTACTGTGAGTGGGTAGGTGGGAAAGAACTAGGTTGAACTTTAAGGACCTTCTAACTGAGATTCCTGGCTTCATACACAGTAAGGGGCACACTAAAGGCTGTAAGAAAGTGGTAGGTCTCAGCACATGAACTATGTCCTGGCAGGATGCCTATGAAAGTCAGATAATATCAACAATAGCTCTGGCATCCACTGTTGCTGTCTCTCATCAACAAGGCATCATATGATAAAGTATTAGACTTGAAACCCACGGTCTCCAGAGCAGCAAAAAAAAATTTGATGTTAGAAGTGTTTCTCTTTCTTCCTTCTAGGATGTGCTCAGTTGATTTTGGAAGGAATTGTTCTAAAAATGAGATGTTTTTGTTTTTGTTTTTCTTACTTGATCTTAGCTAAAAGAAGCAATTGTTTTTCTGTCTGGAGTCATGGAATTCTCTATGTAGACCAGGATGGCCTCAGACTTGCAGTGATGCCCTGCCTCTTCCTCTAAGGTGCTGGCATTCAGGTGTGTGCCACCACACCCAGGCTTGGGGATGCTTCTTCTTCTTCTTTTTTTTTTTTTTTTTTTTTTTTTTTTTTTTTTTCAGTTTATTTTTTAAAAAGACAGGGTCTCCCTGTAGCCTCACCTGGCCTGGAACTCACTATTTTGACTAGGCTGACCTCGATCTCACTGAGATCCACCTGCCTCTGCCTCCTGAGTGCTAGGATTAAAGGTGTATGCAACAATGCCCAGCTGGGGATGCATTTTGAATACTACTAATCTATTTTTAGTTATATTATTTGTCCAGGAACACAGAGCTCCTTAATTACTCACATTTTGACCTAACCATAAATTAATCATGATTGGTATATTGACTAGAATAACTTAAAATTTTTTATTTATTATTTTTATTTTATGTGTATGAGTGTATTGCTTGCATGTATGTGAGTGCACCCATGTCGTGCAATGCCGCGGAGGTCAGAAGAGGGCATCAGATTCCCCTGGAACTGTAGGTAAGGATGGTTCATAGCCGCCCTGTGGGTGCTGGGAATCGAACCCAAGCCCTCTGCAAGAGCAGTCAGTGCTCTTAACCACTGCGCCATCTTATAGACAATAATTGTAAAGTTACTGATTGGATTAGGTTTCAAGTATACTTTTGGTGAAAACTAGAGCCTGAGGGGCTGGAAAAATGGCTTAGTGGTTAAGAGCATGTGCTGCTCTTGCAGAAAACCCAAGTTCAGTTCCCAGCACTCATGTTGGGTGGCTCCCAACTGCCTATAACTCCAGGTCCAGGGAACCCAATACCCTCTTTTGGACTCCTCAGGCTCCTGCACTCACATGTGTACAGACCCACACACAAACACACATGTATACACCTAATTTAAAAAACAGAGATTGGCTATAAGGAGCTGAATTTTTATTTTGTTATGTTTTGGAAGTGCATAAGAAGTAGAAAATATTTTTAAGGGCTTTCAACAACAGGGCAGTGGCCAGTTGGTCTTGATGAGAGGCTGTGATGCCCCATAGTTTTCTCACAGAGTAGCTGCCTCACTGCCAGATCTCCTCCACCCTGTGTTTCTGCCCTTGCTGCCGGCTGGTTCTCAGTTCTTGCTCTTGTCTTGCTATAGACCCAGACACTCCAGTGTTGCAGTTTGGGGAAATGAGCTTTCTTTTTGAATATTTTATTTATTATTTTTTATTTTATGTGTATGAGTATATTGCCTACATGTATGTATGTACACCCATGTTGTGCAATGCCTACAGAGGTCAGAAGAGGGCATCGTATTCCCCTGGAACTGTAGTTACAGATGGTTGTTAGCTGCCATGTGGGTGCTGGGAATCAAATCCAGGTCCTCTGCAAAAGCAGCTGTTGTTCTAAACTGCTGACCCATCTCTCCAGCTCCTGTTCCGCTTTCTAAGTACTCAGAGCATCTCTCTTCTATAGCCAGGCTTTTTCCACCTGGATCCTGAACATCCCCAAGGGAAGGCAGCCCTTCCAGGAGGCAGTTCACCCTAGTGCTGCTGACCCAGGCCCATCAGCTTTCCCAGCATTCTTCTCTGCCCACGCACTGTGGTTGGCCAGCTTCAAGGTCTTGCTTCTAACATGGCCTGAAGATAGCTGAGCTGCTGGCGCCAAGCCTAGCTAGTGAGACCTCCCAGCTGGATGAGCCCAGTCCTTACTCCCAGCCAAACCTCTCCCAGGCCCCTACACTGCATTTTCAACTTCATGGTCCTTCTGTAGGGCTCAGCCCTCCTCCTTGTCTGTACCTACTCTCAGGTTTGGAATTCCTGAGATCCCAAGGGATTCAGTTAAAAAGGGATCATGCGGAGCCACAGTGTGGGGAGATGGTGCTGCTCTGGGAACTGGGGTAGGAGCAGGAGTCAGGATTCCTCCACAGGGGAAGTTCTGAGATAGATAGCTCAGTTTGTCTCCATTCCTCTGTCCAGCAAGGCAGTGTTTCCATCTGTCCTAGTCCAGCTTGTCTCCTTCCCTTTAACCCCAGCTGTGCATCGTGTCTGCATCATACTGTGGGTCCTGGGTCACATAACTCGGTATTGTGACTGAACTGCTCTATGTGGGACGGACTTGTGTTCCCACTAACTTTAAACGGAAATCTTGAATTTTTTGTGAACTTTTAAGCTTAGCCTAGGCATATGGTATATGCTCAGGAAAAATTCCTTGAGGCTATTATCATCTTATTGTTTGTTTGTGCATACAGGTGTATGTGCACGTGTATATACATGTGTGGAGGTGAGGTCAACCCTGGGTATCTTCTTCAATTGCTCTCCATTACATCCTTTTGAGACAGGGTCTTGCACTGAACCTGGAGTTCATTTGACTAGACTGGATGTCCAGCTAGCCCCCCAGGGCTTCTCCTGGCTCCACCTCCCCAGAGCATAGCATTTTACAAGAGTGCTAGAGGTATAAACTATGGTCCTTGTTTGCATGGCAAACATTTTACCAACTGAGTATCACTCTTTGTTACAGTTGAGGAAACTGAAGCATAAAACAACAAGATCAACCAGGAGCACAGGGCCCCCCTTTGATGAGGACTGATGACTCATCAGCCCAGCAGCCACAGCTCCCAGCCACAATGACGGCCTGACTGCTGTTTCATAGTTCAGAACATACAGAAGGGAGGGGAGATCGGGAGACAGCAGTCCACTCATCTGCTCATCCACACTCATTTTCTCCATAAGCTAAACAAACAACCATACAGTGGCTGTGTACTGGGCATGCAAGTTTAAACTCCCTTGGCCCATATCTTGGCTTTTCTTTCCTTCTCCTGGCACCTCCATCTCACCCTGCTTTGCCTGGTGAAGGACAGCTCCTGTAAGCCCCAGGCAAGTTCTTTTCCCATCCAGGAAGAACCTTGCCTCCTTCATTCTACTGGCTCATGGTTAGGGCTCCAGAAATATGTTTTTGATGTGCCTTGTCTCCAGCTCTGGTGTTTTAAGCTGCTGATATTAAGGGACTGAAGAAGAGAAGATAAAATTACATTAAGGAATCTTGGAGGGATACTTTTTAAAAAACATGTAGTTACATTCTGCTTTGCGTAATGGATATATCTTGGAAAGGCAGAAGATATACAAACTTTTTATGAATTAGAATCCTATTTTCTCATTGCTATACATTGCAGAGATGCCCTATTTTATTCTAAATTGCTATTAAACCTCATCTTTAAAAAAATCCTTGAGCTTTGATATTTTAAAAGCAGGTTTCTCTCAAGTGACCCCCCAACACACACATACACACATCATATGATACTATTTCACCCACAGAAACCCTAAAGTGCTCCCCTAATCTTTATATTTAAAAGAACATTTCTGACATCCTTTTGTAAAGCTGGTGACCACCCTTCAATTTATACATTTTCTGTCCCAATTTTGAGAGTTAAAATTAATTCTGATTTTCATGCATATAGTTAAAATCAAATAGAACATATCTGTTCAAAGAAAACTTGATCAGTTCTCAGTAAACTGCTATCCACCTATCCCTACCCTACTCCGAAGAAACCACATTCAGTTCTTTTTGGCTCAGTGATTTTCTGATCCTTGTGTGGAGTCAGCACTGAGCCCACAAGCCACAATGTTTCAATGAAATTATTCTTCAAGCCCTGCTATAATGATAGACACAGTCAGGCTGAGGCAGCACTCAGGACGCTGGTCTGATTGTTAGCATGCTCAGCAGATCTTGGAAGCACACTCCTGCATGTGGTTTCCAACAAAAGATGCCTTCACGAAGGATTCTGAATAGAGATATTGAGATCAAGTAGGCCACAGTCGTAAGACAATTTAGAAAGGCCTGACAGAGGGGGAATAGAGGCAGAGGGTATTGCAACCCCATGACTTAATATATGCTAATCTATGCATGAGAGATTTCTATGGCCACAGTGACCATGGCAATAGCACTGAACATGTATGTGTACGTGTGTGTGTGTGTGTGTGTGTGTGTGTATGTATGACTTACTTGTGCATGTCTTCTTATCTGGATTAAGAGCAAATCCTTCATGACACCGGCACAAGTAGGAACTGTCAACATTTACACACTCGTGTTCACATCCATGGTCTTCTGAAGCACAGTAGTCCACAGCTGCAGAAAATAACACACATTCAGAGTTTAATTAAAAATACAGAGAAAGATATGGTAGAATGGAAGAATATTTGTGACAATTAGAAGTTAGAATTAATATTGTTCTCTCCCTAAAGAGCATGGATAAACACATATCCAAGCTCTCTGCCCCTCAGAAAAATCAATAGTCTAGATCAGTCAATTCATGCCAGAAGATAAACTAAAGAATATATGAACAATTATATTTAAGTCAGAGAAGTACAGATCAAAATGATCACAAGACACAATTATACCTATTCAAATGGCAAAACTAAAAATAAGATAAAACCTAATGGTGTCTAGGGGTGGAGCTCAGTGGTAGAGCACCTGCCTCCTGTGTAAAAGGCCCTAAGATCAACCCCCAACACCATAAAAAAAAAAAAGAAAACCCAAAGCAGAAAGACATCAAGGATGCAGTGCTGTTATATATGAAGAGGAGAGCATCACAGACAGACAAAATCCTTTTGGAAGGCAATTTGACAATTGTACCTGTACAACTGTAAATCTGATCCAAGGAAATAACTAAAAAGGAGAGAATTTATGTATATGTATTAAGCTATTTATAGTAGCACTGTTTACAGTGACCGAAAAATGTCTAGAAAATAATTTGAACTTATAATAAGATTGTCTAGTAATTCAAAAGAAAATACAGGGGCTGGAGAGATGGCTCCGTGGTTAAGAACACTGGTTGTTCTTAAAGAAGACCCGGGTTCAAATCACAGCACCCACATGGCAGCTAACAACTGTCCATAACTCCAGTTCCAGGGGATCCAACAGCCTCTTCTGACCTCCGCAGGCACTGCACAACATGCGTGCTTACCTACATGCAGGCAATACATGCAAACATATACAATAAAGATAATAAGAAAAGAAAATACACTGGTGTATATTTCATTAATTTCACAAATGATTCACTATGGGTCAGTTCTTGTTTTAGAAGCAAGGAGAAAAGTAAGTAACAAATGAGATCCACATTCTTTATTTTTGTATTTTTTATTTTATGTGTATGAGTGTATTACCTTCATGTGTGTAGGTGCACCTGTGTCATGCAGTGGCGTGGAGGTCAGAAGAGGGCATTGGAGCCCCTGGAACTGGAATTATGAATGGATGTTAGCTGCCATCTGGGTGCTGGGAATTGAACCCAGGTCTTCTGCAAGGGCAGCCAGTGCTCTTAACTGCTAAGTCATCTCTCCAGCTCCGAGACCCATATTCTAGCCCCAAGGTGATAATATTTGGATGGTAGTGATGGTAGGAACAGACAAAAGTCAATAAATAACACAATCCACTAGAAGATGGAGAATGTTCTGGAGAAAAATAAAACAATGAAGAGGGACAGGGATTGTGGGTGAAGGGAGGCTGGAGGTGGTCAGAAAGGCTACTGCAAGAACGAGGCAGTTGGACAGTGCTATGAGGCACCAGGCACAAGGACATCTGGGAGTGAGCATCCCAGGCAAAGAGGCTAAGTGCCAAAGGTCAGGAGGCGGGAGCATGTCTGCCAGGGCAGAGCAGGGAAGGGGTGGAGACAAAAGTGGTATGTTCAGGAGAGACCTATGGGCTCCAAGGGCTTATCATAAAATACATCTCAGGCCTGGTATCCAGCTTTATTTGGAAGCAGTCTTTTTAGAGGTTGTCAGGCTAAGATGACATCATTAGGGTTAGCTCTAATCAAGGATGACTGATGCCTTCTTTTATAGGAGGAATGGCTGGGGAGATGGCTCAGCGGGTAAAAGTTCCTGCTGTGCAAGCCTGATGAACAGAGTTCTATCCCTAGAACCCACATAAAAAGGCAGATGCAGTGGCTTGCATCTGTAATCCCAGTACCCCTATGGTGAGATGGGAGGTGGAGACAGAGCATGGCCAGGAGGCTTGTGGGCAAGCTAACCTGGAGTATGCTGTGCAACAGCAGACCCTGAGGGAGATCCTGCCTTAGCAAGGCAGAAGGTGAGATCCAATTCCCAATAATTATTTTTAAAAAGAAGAGAGCACCACACGAAGATAGATGTAGAAATTGCAGTGATGCAGCTTTAAGTCAAGGATGCCAAGATGAATGGCCACCATGAGAACCTAGGAAGAGGCCAGCAAGACCGCTGTGCACATTTCAGAGTTAGTGTGACCCTATTGGGACCTTGGGTGCACATTACTATTTCCCTGTACTGTGAGACATCGCTGTTGCTTTGAATTCCCTAGTTTGCAGTGCTACGATAGATAGCCCTAGGAAACAAATCCCTTGGTGTATGTTAAAGGCAGGGCCAATGGGATTCCTGCTGGATTAGAGATAAATCCAGAGAAAAATAGGAATCAAGGCTGATTCCAGGAATTTTGGACAGAACAACTGAAAGGATGCTACGGTGACCTGAGATGGAGATGCTACAGGGATTGTGGGAGAAGACTGAGTTCCATTTGGAGTATCAGGAAAGCATGGACATTACAGTTATGATGGCCTAATTGTAAACAGGAAAACCAAATCTGGTGAGAAAAGTAAATCTCAGCAGGCAAGATGGCTCAGTGAGTAAAGAGGCTTGCAATGTAAGCCTGGCGACCTAAGTTTGATTCTTAGAACCAATGTAAAGGTGGAAGGAACAATAACACTTTTTAAAGTAGATCTCAATACAGTATATGCACAGCAAT